GCTGGGCTTCAGGCGCTGACTTTTAGATTATCTCCAACTCCTCCTCCCTGTGATCAGTGCACTGCCCTCTTGCTCTGTCCTTTGAATGGCTCTGCTTGTTTGATGCTTATACATGTGTTCCATGTTCCCTCTGAGAGTCCTGAGGACAGAAAGCTGTGTGTGGGGCTTTGGGCAGTGGACAGGTTTTTCTTCCATAGCAGAACAAATCGCCATTCCAAAGTGCTTGTACACTACTGCACACAGCATGGGAAATAAATATGAGGAATTGAAGGTCTCTATGCAGGGCCGTGATCTTGTTGAGATCACAAAACATGGTGGAATAGCTCATGTGACTGTAGTGCTATGATGGATGGATGGATGGATGGATGGATGGATACAGGCTCTTTAGGGAAGACAGACTGGGAGAATAAGGAGGCAGAGTTACCCTTGATATGAGCAGCTCGAATGTGTAAAGCTCTGCCTAGGGCTGGATGAGCCACCTGGGCCAATTGGGCCAACTGAGAGCTTACGAAAGAGCAGACTAATGTGGGTAACAAAGTAGTGGGTATCTACTGTAGGGCTCCTGATCAGGAAGTACAAGTGGATGAGACCTTCTGCAGCTTAGAAGCAGTCTCACATTCAAGGAGCTGGTCCCTGTGAGGGACTTTAACCACCGAATTCTCCCCTTCTTTGTCCTGCTAAAACTGCTAGCAATGTTCTTGCTTCTTTGTTGTCTCCAATCAGACAGACCAGCTCATGACAGAAAAACACATGCCTAAGGCAACGAAACCTCAGCATATGTATCTGCTGTATGCTTGCTTGATCATTCCCTATAGTGTGATTGTACATGTGTGTGTTGTGACCAAAGTGCATCTGTCCCTTGTTAGTTATCAAAAGTATGTCTAACTGTATCAGCATACATGGAATCTGCCTTGAATACGAGCTTATACTGGTGTATCTTGAAGAGAAGTGATGATAACCTGTTTGGTGTTTACCATGAGTAGCTTGTGGTAAGGGTGTGTGTATATGTTATTACCATGGAGTAACTGGAATTTGACTTCGAAGCTTGTCACTGTCTCGTGGAAACTTGCTTATGCCTCCATGGTCTCAGCAATAATGGAAGGGTTTGAAATTTTCTTCAACGCTTGCTTTAGGAAATTAATGTTTTAAATACTCCTTTTTTGTTGCCAGAATCCCATAGTTAACTTTGAAGAGCCACTGCATCTGGAGACGTGGTTCCCTCGTCAGCTGATAAGAAGCAAAAGAGAAGAAATTCGGGACTTGATCTTGCAACTGCACTTTCAACAGCATAGTGGCAGCAGCAGCTAGTAAATCTAATAAGCTGTGCCTGGCAAATAACATTGCTGTATAAAGTAACTGGAACTCTGCTTAGCAACATTTGGGCTCTTTCTGCCTTGTAAGGAGAAAAACAAAACAACAGAACCACAAGAAGTGTTTTGTTTGTTCAGTGTGTACTTATTTAAAGATTTATTTTTTTTTCATTTGGGATGTGTGGTCATAGACTGAATCGTGGGGGGAGAAGGGGGAGGGAAGAAAAGGTTGTAGATAAAAGTGTAAATATGTAAGTTAAGCTAATACATATGGATTGCTAATTGATTCTTTACTTGGAATATGAAAGCTGCATACAGGTATGCGCCACAAGGATGTGAAAACGTTCGTCATTTGGAGCCTCTGTTTTACAATTCTATATAAACATAGATGATCATAGGCAGGTCCAAAAGCAGGATTTTGACCCTCTACTCTGTCTGTTTCGATTTTGCAGCTCATGCAGATACAGTGAATATGATGTATTGGTTTTACTTAAGGATCTAATATAGACTCTCTTTAGAGATGTATTTTTTGTTTTGTTTCTGATTATATACAGAAGTAGTGTATATGTGTCAAGATTTGAGGCTGATGAGTTTTGATTTTTTTTTAATTTTTATTTTTTCCCCTCCCTAGCATTTTCACTGTAAAAAGTTATTTGCTTGAGAGTGACTGTTAAAATCTTTTAAAGTCCAGAATGGATTTATTAAAAACATCTTCTATAGTTATTTTTTCTTAGCAGTTTTTAGAAGAAATCTTGCTGTCAAATAAAATACATGTAGGCAGTAGATTTTTAATCCTATTCACCTTATTTTGGGAGTTATTTTTGTGAATCTTATAGCACCACTTGCATTAGAAAGGTAAGCAGGTTGTGACTTAACAACCTTAAAAGTTTGAGGTCTTTTACTGAAAAATAAGGCAAATTAATTCAAAAAGGTCATTCTGATCTATATAATATGTTTTTAAGATATGTAATTTACACATAGGACAACAGGATTTATACTTTCCCTCAGGAGAGTTGAGTAAAGATGTCTGAATATTTCAGTGTTTGAACTTGGCCTTGATAAACTAGCACAAGTTTATCATTGTTTTAATACATATTTATAGAGTTTTTCCTCAAGTAGTGATCACATAAAACTTTAATAACATTGTGATGTGCACACTTTTTTCTGTAGTTACTGCATGATAGAAGGTGACTGTTTTAAGAGGATGCTTTCTCCTGTTCCTCATTGTAAGTAAACTTAAGTGTTATCACACCCTTGAGAAGGCCCATGTGTCAGATAACACCAAAACCACCCATGTCATAGACGTATCTACAAAAACAGAGCTCTTAAAGCTGGAAGTAGGCTAGAGGGTTAAAATAAAAATTGAGGGCAATCCAAAGATGTGAACGTTTTTATGGCATTGCAGAATTCTCAGGGCACTTTCCCTCAATACAACTCTAAAACCTAGCATTTGGAAAATCCAGTTATTACTTCAGGTTCTGTACAGTCATCCAAAAAACCCACCAACATTGTTTCTCAAACCAGGAAGCGTTCTTTCTGGAGAAGAGAGACAATTTTAAAACAGAATAATTTGCTGAGCACAGTTACCTTCTGTATAGCTGTGAGCAGCCTAGTGCAATTACTGTATGTTTTTTCTCTTTGCTTCTACTTTAGTTCTGTACTTTGTCACTATCCCTCATATCAACATCTGTCCCTCTCATCCCAGAGTTTTTGTGGCTTTCATCACCTAGATCACAACATCAGCATTGCTTACAGGAATAATTTGTGTATTTATTGTAAGACAGATGAAGGATAAAATGTGGAAATGTGTGCCCTTTCTCTACACCTTTTAAGTTACGAGTATTTACAGTGTTTCGTTTTGAAAAATAGTTTGGTCTTTTTCTCATGATAAAGTTAGTTTTTATCATAAAATATTTTGTTCTTTTTTAGATTGGCTAGTTTATAGGTATGTAAAAGCAAAATCCGCATATAAACTTTTCTAAATTGGTTTTATAACATTAAAGGATTGCCTTTGTAGATTTGTTAGACATGTGCTATGAAAATGCCGATACATTTGATATTAAAATTATCTCCAGAAGTTGTTGAATGTGATTCTTATCATTCTTTTCCCAGCTGCCACAAATAGCCAGTGAGCTAAGCAGAAGACAGGCCATTGTACTGCTTTGAAAGTATATACACAGAATGTATCCCTTAACCCAAGTTGCTGTCAAAGTGAGTAATTGTTCTCCAGTCCTTGTAAAGGCCACAGCTAGTTCACGGCTTCTTGTGGCAAGCAAGGCTGCTTTTTTGACTCAAGAGCCTTACAGTTGTTTTCTGTAGGTAGGCTAACACTCTTGACAGCCTGAATGACTAGCCTGGCAAACGCCTGGACCCACGACCTACAATCCACCCTATTCCAGCCAGTTGCATTTAACAGAGATGTGGTGAATACTAGGAATTGTCTGTGGAAAAATTTACACTTCAGGTACCTTTGTGCTTCATTTTTTTCCTTGCTAGAACTCTCCAAAGATAACTTTTAGCATATATAAGGCATCAGACTGACTCAGGGACCTTTTTGCACATCTCCTGCATCTCCATTTCGTGTATTAAACCCTGTTTGACTGAAAGGGTGGTGTGACATGCTACTTCAAAGCAAACTAATCTTTTTAAGGCTCTTCACCCTACACTGTGTGATCTTGGTTGCAAGGAAATGAATTGTACTCAATTAGTGTTAGATTAATTCAGTTGACCTCACTTGCTGATTTTTCTGCTCTGAATACTTCACAATACTACATGATGGAAGAGGTGGTGGTACAACAGATGATGGTGGGCTGAATTTGCTCAGCTGGAAGGCGAAACAGCCTCAGACCTTGCTTGTTCTTGGGAGATGGTTCAGCAAAGAACTCTCCAGGAGCACAAGCAAGAAGTGGTAATCATGAAATGCAGGGAGTGTCTGCCATCATGTGGCTCTTCATTAGAGGCATCTTCACTAAAGTATACCTTTATTTTGCTTTTCTTGGTTACAAATGAGTGGGTTTAGCTTTTTTAATAAGTTGAATTTGAAAAATGATTAAATTATTTAAGGCAGTATGTGTGCTGTAGCAGAATTTCAGTGACCATTACCTTGTAGAGAACTATAATTCAGCTAATCACTTTTCAGATACAAATTGTCAGAAATTTTTCATTTTATGTTTGGAGGTACTGATGTGATCTTGGCATATTACATCACTAGGACTATACTTACCTTTTTTCCCCAGCAAGAATATAATTTCCTGAATACTTTTCGAAAGCAGATAGAATTTGCTGCTAGAAAAGAAGAATTATGCATCTTCTGATGCGAAGCACTACTGTAAAGGCTTTAGTCAAACCAAGGGAGGATTTAATTTTCCAAGGTTATTTTGGAAATCTATTGCAAGAGTTGTTTTGCTTGTTTTAAGAAACTTCAGATATAGCAGAGATGCTGACTAAGACTTCAAAATATTATGGGCACCAGTGCAATGTTGTTCCTGTGCTTCATACCATCAGGACTGTTCACTTTTCAGCTCCTGTGTGATGTACTGCACTTGGTGCTGCTGCTAGTACTGGAGTTAGCTTGACAGAGCCAGTTGAACGGTGCTAGTTTGATAGATCCAGAATATCTGAATCTAAGAACAGTGGGGGTGTTAGAGCAGACAACTTCAAATTTAATAGTTTTGTGGGGGAAAAAACCAATGAAAATATGTTGTTGCTTTGAAAAATACCAGTGAGGATCTATTAGATGTCAGGAGACAGAGCCTAAACACGAAGGGGAGTTTATTTGATTCCTGTGAGTGTGTCCTTTGAGTAATATTGGGAATTACCAGTGCTGCCTGAACTGCTGGAAGTTCAGCAGAGCAGCTAGAAGAGATGAATTGGCACTGTATACCTAAGGAGCTCTGTGCAAATGCTCTGCAGACTATCAGTGGGGAAGCCTTGGGAATCCAGCTTTGAAACATTTACACAAAACCACTACCAAAAATAGCCCCTTCAGACAAATTAGCACTTTGGTCAGAGTGATCTGAAGGTGGTAACCAGCAAGTCCTCAGTAACACCAGTACTCTCACCCAGGAGAGAGCCCTGGTGTGGTCTTTCTAGGGATCTGAATGCAGGCTGCCATAGCAGGGCAGCTTTCATACACGTTTTCACGATGAGCTGACCCTAGACAGGAAGGGAGCTGAGAATGCTGCTTCTTTCCTTCACACTGTCCTTTCCGCAGCTCTTCGCTGAAAATCTATTCAGGTACTTCTGTACTGATTTGTTCCTGCTGCTCATGTCAGATAATGCCTGAACAGAGATGAAAGAATTGCAGCTTGCCCAGGCTTTATCTTTGGAGGAAGCAACGCTTCTGGAGTGTGAGAGACAGCGGTGTAACAGCACAAGATTTTCTCCTTTAGCACAGACTTGGGCAGCAGGGCTTTATTAGCTCTGTCACCAGATGAAACAGTCCTACAGAAAGGTTGCTTTGGTATTATCTACGTAAGCACTGGTGTTTAAGTGAGTCACTGCCTTATTAGATACAACTATTCATACAAGCAGAAGATAAAACACGCTGGGACCTTTCACTTGAGACTAGCATGCTCCCTCTGATGCTTTGTGGACAGCGTGATTTAAAAAAGGGCAGAATTGAAAGGCCAATGAAAAAACGTGGTTAATTAAATGTGAAAGGTGCTGTCCTTGCTTGTACTGTCTGCTAATGGTATGACAAGCTCTGGTAAAGAGCTTAGCTGGCCAGATTAAAATTAAAAAATTGTCTCAGTCCATCTGCTAGCTCTGAGGAGTTTACTTCCATCACCTTTCCTTGGTTCTTCACCAGAGCGGAATACTGTCTGAAAAGAACATGCCCAGGATGTCTCAGTTGACTTTTTTTACATAATATTTTTTCCAAAGATAATTATATGTGACATCAAGGTATCTTCAAGAAGAATGATGCTTTCAGTTGGATCCTGGATACGTTAAAGATAACAGCTCTTTCGCTAGAAGGGATTTTTATTTTTTTCCCTT